GTATCATCAGATCTGTATGTGCTTAAAAGTGAATGCAGTTTCAAAAATATGAAATTATACCGGTTAATTTACACAATGCAAATTAAAATGGAAATTAGTATGTCCCTGAATATCAGCATGTCGTGTGAGATTATTATCGTCACTGAAATTCCCATGATAAAGGAAATCATGCATTTATTATATAAACGCAGAGTAGCTGGGTAAATTAAATTTCTGATGCGAATATTTGAAAATTCTGCGTATGTGTACATGTATTCAAGAAAGAGCATGAAACATTGCATTGTTAGTTTTTCAGTAAAGTTGTTGATTGATCAGCCTGCAATGTGTATTCACAAATTCTATTGTACGCCCACAGATTATACATGTAGTCAAAAAAAAATAAACAATAACTTTGCAATACAAATGTTAGCGGTATTTATTATGACTGCTCTTGGAATATTTGATTAACCTTTTGAATGCGCAAGTCAACTTTTGCAACATTTTCTCAAAATAAACCTAAGTTTTTTTTTTATTTTTTAAGGAAATTTTAATCAATACCTCGATGCAGTGAGAACTTATGTCTATTTTGTTCAAAATTAACAAAAACGTTATATACGATTTCGCGAAAATTTAAAAATATGAATATGTTTTCATGTTCATTTTGCTTGACTCTGATAAAAAAAAAAGGTAATAGTTAGAATATGACTTTGAGTCATTGTGTGGTTCAAGGACATTTGATTACTGACCCTATGATGTGGTCATTACCATGGTGATACAAATTACCACAATGTCATGTTCAAATACTTTTATAATCAGTTGAATGAACTGTTTAGCAGAAACTAATTTTTGTCTTGAATGAATTTGAGAGGTTTTATGACATCCACAAAACAATATGTTTTTTCTTAGTGGATTTATCAATTATGTAAATAAAGATAATCTATAAATTAGTAGTGAATATATTAATAGCAATTTGTAATATGAATACATTTATATTTTGGGCTGCTGCTGACCGTTTGTGAATGATAAGTTTTGATTTGGTGTAAAACAAATTATGGTATGTTACTTTCACCACATAAAATGGTTAAGAAGAATTATCTTGATACCCCTCCCTGAAAGGTAAATTATACGTCAGGAAACTATATTGTCTATTAAATACTTTATTTTATCTGAAAATTCATTTTGGCTATTTAGAGGTTTATTTTTACTAAATGTTTATTTTCACTTGAATGTAAAATATAGAGCAAAATGTATTTTCGCAGGATTTTATTTTCACTGATTTATTCTTGAGTGAAAATGTAGTAATTTAAGGTAAAATATGTTTACAAAAAAATTTAATAATTTGCTAGCTGCATCTGAAAAAACATTGTCATCTTATGTTATCTTCTTCCCATTTACCAAGTGGCAAGAAAAATAATGTACTATGAGTACCGTAAAATCTGTATTAGAAGCCGCATCCGTAATAGAAGTTGCACCCATTATTTTTGAATATTAAATTGAGAACCAAATATTCATTATTTCTCATGTTGATGTTCTAATAGAAGCTGCATCCCCCTTTGTTGCATTGTACCCTTTTAATAGAAGCCACTGTTTGTAATACTGATTTTACAGTATTTGCTGCCATGGGATAAAATGTGTGTTTATTTTGCAATTTTGAATAACTTGTGTGCCCAAATTAGAATAAATAAAACTAAATAACTATCCACTTAATGAAAATCTCTTAAGAAAAACTTGGATTCTATGAGAATTATACTGTTCACTACTCAGGGAAGACATAGGGTGAGAAATGTGTATATTTCATTATAATGAGAATGGTAACCTCACAGTAGAGCTATGTGATTATAGTAAGACGTCCTAATTATATTGCCAGTATAAGTAGTGGCTGCATATGCACGCATATACAGTTAACTGTGGGTAATGCCTTTATTAAAAATTCAGGCTTCTGTCTGACTAGGAAAAAATAGCATAAAGACTATGTAACTGATACAGCTTTTAAAACACTGTGTGTGCCAGTCACATACAATGTAGCTATGCTGGTACACACTGTACATGTAGTGTTACTAAAATTATTGTATTATTAAATATACTTGGCCAGGCCAGGAATAGATTTTGCTGTTTTCAAATTATTTGACATCATGTGTGTATTAAGATGTCTATATGGTAGGCTTTAAATCGGGTGCAGAAAATGTAAACAGCTTTCTAACTTTAATCCAAATAACCATCTCCTCTGATGTAAAAAGCTACTTATAAGAGAATATAATTTTTTTAATAATTAATCCTCTTATTTTAATGACAAAAATAATTTTTCTTGTTGAATATGAGTTTTTAATATTTGAGTATTTCAAATAATTAATTCCTGTTATTTGCCATGTTAATAACGAAATCAACTTTAATATTGATGTCTTCATTTCCTTTTGCTGTGGTAAACATCCAGTGTTGTCATAGTAACATTTTTAATGAAGTCAACATACTAGACTTTCTTGCCCCAAATTTGTCTGTACTTTTTTTCCTATATTCTTCAATAGTTCTGGAAATGAACCCTAATTTTGGATCCAACAGACAGAATTTTCAGTTTTCACTGAAAAAATCTGGCTATTTTTATCCAAATTTTCTGAAGGAAAATGTTTAAGTAAACCAAACTATATTTTTTTGAATTTGTGATGAAAAGAGAGAACTGGTGAATTACTACAGTACATCTTGTATGATTTTGATGATTAAGTTCACAATGGATATCAATGAAAATATGTTGATGGTTCATTCAAAACTTGGTTTCAATGATTTATTTACAACCTCTAAATATTTTCGAAAGATTTTCACTGATTCATGACACTAAATTGAAATGTATGGGTTTTGCCCCCACTTTGCACGATATCAGTCATCACTGGGTAAGGTTTCTCTAGTTGTGCTATGTTAAATGTTGTATATCCTGCTTAAGGAAATGGTTTCCGCTTTCACTAGGTTAATATGTCATACTTGTATGTCATTGAAAAGTACTTGCTGCTGGCAAAAAAAAAAAAAAACAAGAATTTTATTTTTCATTGACCTGAAACTACATACAAGTTACCTGGTATACTAGCTAATTAGTATGCTTTATGTATGACCTCTGAAGGTCACACATCCAGGTACTTTCCGAGTTACGTCACAAATACATGTACACTGTAAATGAGAATTTTCTAATCATTTTTTCCCCCAAAAATGAATGAGTTTAACAGGCTAGGAAAAGTACATTACACACATATTTCAATATTGTTTGATCGTACAATGAAAAACATTTGAGTTGGCATGCATCTATTATTAAAAAAACAAAACACTGACTATTCACAAGCCAATTTTTTCAAATCAGACGTTTTACTGCTCAGTGACGCATATCACATGCATACATACATGAGCATTTGGTGCAAAGTACAAGTACACACTTAGATTGTTATTGCTTATCTGGAAAGGTTAAAAGTTTTATATCGGCAATAGTTTCATGTCATAAATATAATTTCATTGGTTGCTGCAGACACTCGTAATCGCAGCTAACAGTTGTGTCAAATAAGCTTTATCCAATGCTCAGAATGATGCGTATTTCTTCCGGTAATCACTCATTTCTGCTGACAATGATCAAACGAAAAGGAAGTAAATTTGAGTTTTCAAATAATAAACTGAAGAGATATTACTGTGCATGACGAATACAAGTAGTAGTTTTAGTGTTTACAGAGGTCATATAGTGTTATATATAGTTCTAGATTTATTGCCTTAAAAGGGAACTGCTCAACCTGCCATTGTTTCTGCATAAATGTGAGATGCAATTTTTAAAATATTATATTACATATACTGTAGAAAATTTCATTTTTCTACTATTAATTATAGTGTTTAGATAATAGCATTCAAAACAAAATTAAAAGGTGGTCGCACATCGCATGGTCAAATTTTGCGTAAACGTATTGTATACATGGCTATGGAACCTATATTGAATACGATGCGACACACAGCTCTTGTCTAAGATCATATGCTGTACAGTATTTTATATGCAAGTCGTTTCTTATATTTCAGGATAGTGGTCAAGCCTGCACTGCCCAACGTCTAGAGCCTTTTAACCTCTTCACCACCACTTCCTTCTTTTCTTCACAAATTCACAAAATTGGGAAATTTTTTAAGTAAAAACTGAAAATTGACTCAAATTTTGTCTGTTGGCTTCAAAATTGAATTGGAGTTCATTTCCAGAAATGAGTCCTTGTCTTGCAATTAGTTCAAAATACCTGGGGAAAATAATTTTACTCAAAAAATGCAATATGGTTAAAAAAAAATTCAGATTACACATTGATACATGTATACAGCTGGATTATGATTTATGACTATTATTTTAATATTTATCATAAACTAAAAATATCAAAATGTGTAATAACGAAATTTAAATTAAAAAATTAGTATAATTTGTGTATGCCAGTATTTATTTCTGAATATATCTAGCATATAAAGAATTGTGTGTAGTGGCGACAGTTCGAAACATATCGATCTAGCACTGTGTATTTTGTTAATTTTTAATCGAATATGCATTTGCTTCACTTGTTTCAACTGAACCTTGGTGCTAGATCTACACTTGAATGAACATAGTTAAAAAGGGCAATGTATGTGCTGTTGTCATAGTAATGGCATCAAAGGCAATTGATCTTTGAAAAAATGCATATTTCCGCTATACTTTTTCCCTATGTATGCTAAATTTGCCTTGAAAATAGTTCCTCATCAACTTTAGAAGTTCAAGCCTGCAAATATGTAGAAGGTTGGTCCTGATTGGTTACTCTACTGTACTAGCTTGCAAGCCAATCAGGGAAGACCTGCTGAACATTATATGCATTATGGCCATCTCCACTGATTTTTTTTTAAACATGTTTTATATAGGTCTTGTATATATATGAATGACAACAATATCACTTGTAAATTTCACTATTTGTATGAAATTTTAAAATTGTGTAGTGTACATACAATAAATAAATTTATTTAGGTGATCCTGTTTTAAATGTGTTGATTTTGGCTTACAGGTATCCAGAATGTTGGTATGAAGAAATTACCAGTAATCCTAAGTTTTTTTCACTGGCTGCCGTCTTGGAAAATAAGATTGTCGGTGTGGTTGTGTCTGAGATAAAGGTCAAAAGTCGTATACACAAAGAGGTGAGTCCCCAAACTACGCATCTATATCGTTGACGTGTGTCGTGGTTGACCATGATTTAACCGATCTGCATGGGCTGAGCCAAAGTTCACAAAGTTGATGGTCAGGAAGCATTTATGAATGAGTTACTCATGATGCCTTGGAATGTATAGTCCTAATAATCATAATTATGGGTTGACTGTACATACATGTAGATTTCATTATTGTCATTTGGGTGTGCTTTTTATTTTTGTCCATTGAGTGTGTTAGGGACTTACATAAGCGAGAGCGTGTTTACAGCAGCACGGTTTGGGTCAGTACTTTGTACGAGTCTTGATGATTTAGACCGAGTGGTGTTTTTATAACATACTGACTGAACTAGCAGATACACAATGTACACAACAAATTTATCATTTTGGACAGATGGAGAAAATGCAAATAACTTGAATAATAATTCAATGCCTATCACCTGACCTGTAAAGTATTATTCAAATTTGTACTTTTGTACTGCACTTTCATCTGAATGCTCACAATTGTACAGGTGATAGAGATTGTGTCTTTATCTATGAAGTGCATGTTCACACCCCCACCATTGACAATCTTTTTCAATAGCAGAGGAAGAAGTCTCACTTCTACCCAGTTACAAAGCATGCAGCATGCATGTAGTTACAGCAATTCCAGGCACTGATTTGACGCTGAAGTAGTGTTAGATGTTGATAACTTACTACAATAGGTTACACACTTTGTTTTCACATTTACAGAAGTTGTTACAAATAAAGCAGACAGCATGTCTGCAATTTGATGCGCACCGGAAGAAAACTCCCACCATAAAAGTGGCAGTACATTCGTTTTGAATTTCTCCTCCAATAAACGATCAAGGCTCTCAACTTAGTTTTGTACTTCAATTTGCGTCACATGTTATTTCAGTGAGAGGGCGTATACAGTGGTGGCACTGTAAAGAACTTTACAGAACCAGCTGACCGACTGATCATGACAGAATTATTGATCAAAGTGCATTCATTATTCCTGCTATGGAAATACCCGTATTACGTCGATGCATATAACTGACAGCTGCCAGTATATCAATAATGAAATTGAATACATAAGTAGAATGGGTGTTATTCGATTATTAGTTCTCGACGATGAAAACCAAAAGGTTGATGTCCCACCAAATAATCGCTTTAAAAACCTTATCACTCAGGCTGGCAATACACGATCACACGTCGGGGGAGGGTTATCGCCGTACACAAGTAGTTTTTGTCGAATTTTCCGCCCGTAAATGTTTTATAATATTCGACATAGTCTATAACGTTGTCAGTTTCCTGGCAGGATACTCTCGGTGGTAACAAACCGTTTGACGATATTATAAGCTGTCTAATCTCAGCAAATGACAGTCCACAAAAATACAAATCGACAACTCTTGTTCTCACTTCAACTGGTTTTTTGACTCCTTGATTCTCCATCGTGGTGCAACTTGGACAAATGCCGATTTGTAGACAAGCAATCTACACGATGACCGATCAAAAGTGAATAAAAGACAGACGCGCCTCAAAGTCTGTGTACCTGACTTTGTAGCAAAAATAGAAAACATTGTGGGCAATATCTGTCAATCATTCCTCTGATTTGCAGCCGATGTTTATATTTCTAGTTACAACTTCTGTAAATGTGAAAACAAAATGTGTAACCTACTGTAGTAAGTTATCAACATCTAGAACTACTTCAGCGTCAAATCAGTGCCTGGAATTGCTGTAAAGTGTGGTAAATATACAATCTGCATAAAAGCAGTGGATATTTACGAAGGCTCTATATAACTGTGGAGTTTACAATTCTCACATGAAAACAGTTGCGTTAACAATCTTCATATGAATGAATAAATGTGTGGCAAAACACTGGTGAAATAACTTGCCCACTATGTAATGGCCAAGATGTACACGTCCTTGTTAGGTTTAGTAAACGCAATCATTACCAATACAATCTACATGATAAAGTTATTATTATATTTAGTCATTTGAAGAATAATTAGGGGTGATATGCCCAAATATAGACTTCTGTCTGGAGAATGCAAATTTGTTGCGTTTGTATTTACCAAAAATTTGTTTGCCCATTTTAAATGACTGTGGTCATCGCGCCACGTCCTGTTTGATATGAGACTCGTACATGTAGCGGCGTAAACAATGCCTTTGTTTACATAAAATTTGAGCAGCAACGACTACCATCTTTTAATGTAGGTACTGTAATAGCATTAATTTTCACAAGTATTTCATTTCACTACTTTAATGTTTTAGCATGATTGATACATACTGTAAAATACTTTATTTTCACTTGAAATTAATTTTCGCTATCTTCGCTGAAAATAAAATCCAGCGAATAAACCTTTTTTCCTATATTTTCATGTATGTATGGGGGTCTAAAAACTAACTCTGCGACGCGATTGTGTGACTCGCCGAATGTTGATTATTGCACTCTGCGACAGGATCGCAGTGTCACTCTGCGAAGAGCACGATTCCTATTGGTTGGTTGGTCGAACAGCGCGAATCCCAATGGTCGATGTCCACCGCAGGCCTTATAAAAAAGTTTTAAATGGTGAAAAAAGGTACGGTAAAAAAAGTGTGTAAACACTATTTACCGGCGACATGCCGCACTGTTCGGTGATCGGCAAGCACATGGAAGACAAATTGTGGGACCAAACAAATGACACATGGTTTACGGTTTTTAGACACATCACACTGCTGGCTAGAAAAATTAAATAGTGTAACGTGCACGTTGGGTTTGACTGCCTATTTAATATGGTGTTACGTTATCGCCATCTTGGAGTTGTAAGACTTCGTTCCGACGACTATGCTCATTAGCATAGACGGCAGCTTCAAAGCGAGTGGAACGCGAAGTACTTTTCACGCGTTCTGCAACGAATGTTGTACGTCTTCTTTGAATTTGTTGAGTGCATCAAGGAAAATAATTTGCATGCAGTGAAAAAAAAATCATTCACGACGTGCAACGTTTGCCATGACAGCAGTTGATTGCAATCATCTGCCTTCGTTTAGATCATAAACAGACTCAAGACTTGTGGTCTACGATCGATCAGCTGGTATTTTAACCACCAGAAATGAAATACTTTGTAACAGTTGTGAAAAGTAAACAAAAACGGCGTTGGTTTGTGGTATGAATGTAATTATTTTTGTATCATAATTTTTGAAGTCAGTATTACTGAACATTATGGTTTA